CCCCGACTCCATCTTTCCTCGTCAGCCTGAGCTCTGTGCGAACCTTTCCTGGGCACCGGCAGGCTGGCCCTGGGGACGGTGAGGCACCGAGGTACAAGCTCGCAGGACAGGTGGGCGCCGGGCCGCTGTGACACACGGGAGCGCCGCCCCCCGGAAGGACCGTACGAGAGGACGGAGCCCCTTCGTCCTCGCCATGTGCTTGCCACGGCCTCCCCCAAGACAGCGGTGACAGGCGGGGACAGCTGCCCCGTTCCGGGGAAGGGGCAGAGACTTGCGCCCCGATAAAGTCGCTTTCCAGCTCATGGACAGGGACGGCCGTTGGGGAACACGCTGCCTGGGGTGTGGGGGACAGGAGCTGCTCACGAGTCACCTCAGGCGGGACGAGGTGCCTGGGGCCTGCGGCTCTTCCTCCTGCTCGCGGATTCCTGTCCTGCCTGTGGCTCTTGGCATTCGCCTGTTTCTGTAGGTATTGTCTGAGGTGGGAGAGCACAGAGGGCACTGAAGGTCACGGGAAGACCTCGCCTGCCCAGCGCTCCGCTCTTTCCAAGGGCTGTGGAGAGCACTGTGTACTGAGCATTTTCAGTGGAGTGAGCGCCTTACAGCTGTGGATCGGTGCCCGCCTGCACTCGGCAGAGGCTCCTGAGTCCGTAGCGCGCCCTGCAGTGCCCTCGTTGCTGTGGGATTTTATCTATGATGTCTCGTTGTTTGAGTGTCACCAGAAGGTGGCCCTCTTCACCAGCTTGGCTGCATGTTCCACCCACTGTTACATAGACACAGGCGGGCAGGGTTGGCAGTGGGCGGGCAGCCACACCGTCCTAGCCCAGTGCTTTGGAGGCTGGCACTCGGTGCCTGCAGGTGGGGGGCCGAGGTGCCCAGTGCCGGGTCCCGGAAGGCTGCACTGTGCTCATGATTTCTGCTTTAGAGAAACAGAACGAGGAAGCAGCTGTCATTTAAAAAAGAACTCCTGGTTTGGATTCAGTCAGATATTCTTTGGCTGCCTACGAGGTGCCTGTCCCAGAGAGTTTGGTTTACTAGAGTGAGGTAGAACTTGTCCTGACGCCTGCTTTTTTCAGCATCCAGGTGAATCAGTAAGCTTTGAGGGAGAAAAATTTCCTGGGTATGAATGATGGATTCTGTAATTTATGCCCTTTTGCGGGGGCTTGGTCCCTGCTGCACCAGCGCCCCAGTCATGCGCCGGGGGCCGCATGACCACGACCAGCCTGTCGCAGTGCCCTGTCCAGCTCCGTTGGACAGGCTGCAGCTGGTCCCTGTCCTAACCTCTGCGGCCCCCTCATTCCATCTGGGTTCTTCTTGCTCTTTGGCGTGTGCATTGTTGACAAAAACAAATCAACCTGGTTTCTGCCACTAAAAGGTCAACCTGTAGGGCAGACAAAAAACGGAATCTGAACTTGTAACAGTTATGTTGCTTTGACTGGTTTCCTGAGAGGTGTGTGGATAAGGATTCCTGGTCGGGGCAGTGCACCCTGCCAGGGCAGCCCAGTGTGGGTACCTGGGCGAGCAGGTTGCCTTTACAGAGGAAACCTGGCTTTTAAACTATTTTCGGCGTCCCTCTTTGATTTCCTTTCCTTCTGACGTTCTCACATTTTCTCTGCCTTTCTCAGTTTACCTCTCCATTTCCGCACTCACCGTTCACACTGCACAGCCTGTGCCTCCTGCCGGGGAGCTGGGCAGATTCAGGCTGGGTTATCGTGGCTTTGGCCCACTTACTGTTTCCACAGAGGAGGAGTGGACAGCGATCTCGCCTCTGCCGGAATTCAGCTTGGGCGCTCAGGGGCCACCCCTCTGCCTGCCCTGCGCTCCTGTCTGCCAGAGACCCAAGTGGGTGCCTTTGTCTCCAGTTCTGAGACGAGATTGGCCAGACGCAGGCTTCCTCCATTGCTCCAGACCAAGGAGCCTGTTTCCCCACTTTTAATACTGATTTCCTTTTGTGCCACTTTTTTTTTTGGTCTTGTATTTTGGGAGCCAGGCTCAAAGTTTAGCTGACTTTACACCATCAGTGGGTTAAGGAAAAGGAAGGGGCCAAGTTCCTCTCATAAAGGTCACAGTGCTGTGCCCTCAGAGTGCCAGCGGGGTGGTTGTCAGTGCTGGAGGCCTGCACGGTCTCCCGCAGCACGGCCTGGCTGTGGGAGTTACTTGAGGAAACAGGTTGTGGTCTGCTGGCCCCAGAAGGGCTCTGTAGACAGGCACGGCAGATTCCCCCAGGGGCACAAATGTCCCTGCACTTGTGGGGACCCCCTCGTGGTGTGCACTCGCTTTGGCACGCGGCTGTCAGTCCTCTTTGGGCATCTCCGCTGTGGGGGAGCCCTGCCCAGTCATGCCCGCCCCTGGGGGCCTCGACACCAGCTTGGGACAGCTCTGGGAAGTCCTGCAGCTGTAGAGCACCCCACCCTGTCTGGTCCCCTCCCTTCCCAGGTACGGATCCCCTTCTTGCATGTGGCCTCTTCCCTCGGGGACCCCAGCCACCCCTGTGACAGTGCTTTGTGTTTTCCTACTAGTGTGGGCTTCAACTCCGTTTCTAATCATTTCGCGAATGACACATTGGTGCGTGTATGGTCTCAGGCACCATAAGTACAAATTAGGTAGATCTCCTATTTATGCCAAATGTGCATTTGCTGTTTATTCCGAATGTTAATTTTATGTGTTAAATAAATGATACCGAACTTACAGCTAAATAAAAGTTTGATTTGTTATCGCCTGGTTTGTTGTGAGTCATGTTTTGTGTACTGAATCTTCACTGCCATTTTCTAACCCTGCTTTTAGCGAGGACTTGAGGGTTGCTCCTGAAGTGAAAGAAGTCTTAGATACGTGGTTGCAGCCAGCGTGGAGGGTGTGAAGGGTCAGCTCACTGTTCTGTCCCACCTCAGAGCAGATGCAGGCAAACAGTCAAATTACGGAAGGAGACTGCGTAAGTCAGAGTGCAGTAAGCGAAAAGCCCCACTTACTCCAAACAGGTGTGGGTTCTGCCTTCACAGTGTGACCCCCTCCTGCTGTTGAGCAGGTTTTGGCTTCCTAAGACACGCGATATATTCTATTGATTTTATTTCTGTTGCATAAACATGACTGAGCACATTTCCAGGGCCGGGCGCTGGGATACAAGGGAGTGGCACAGGCCCCGTCTAGGACCTTCCGGTCTCTGCAGGGCGATCACGGCTGCCTACGGCAGGGCAGGAGGAAGCAAGCGTCATCTGAAAGGTGGGAAGGAAGGACTTGGCGGAGGGCACGTCTTCTGGTGCCCTTAGCAGTTGGTCCTTTACTGAGAAAGGAACAGACCCGGGTTCACCAGAGCCACGAGGTTTGGCCTGGGAAATGCTGAGCCCCTTCGTGCCCACGAGGCTGCGGCTTCTGAGGATTCACAGCTGAGGGCCTTCCGCAGGCTCCAATGGCCCGGATGGTGTGGCTGAGGGCTGGATGCTCTCGTGGGAGCCACACAGCGTCGCAGCCCCCAGGGGGTTGCTGCTGTCCAGCTCCTGGCGGGGGAGAGGACAGAGTGACTGGGAGAGAGAAGGCGTGCGCCATCCTGCTGTGGAACTGCCTGCAGTCTGAGCTTTCCTCTGCCCTCCAGTGAGGCCTACATCATGGTGCTTCCAGCACAGGAGGCGGGAGGTGGGTATGGGTGGAGGGGTCCCTGTCCCGGGGCTGCCTGAGCTGCTTGCATGGCCCTTGCCAAATCACCTCAGTCGCTGCGCTGCCACCTCGTGTCTGAGGGCCCTAATGACGTGGCTCATGGGGTGTAGCTGGACACCCATCCGGGTCACTAACCTGTCCCGCACCAAGGTGGCTCCTGAGCTTTTAGGGCGAGGTTTTAGCTAACCCCAGCTGATGGCACCGAGGCTTGGCCCGGCCTGTGTCAGCAGAGGGGCCCGGTGGGCGGAGTCTGTGGTGTCCAGGTCTGGAGCCGCTACGTGTCCTGTCCGCGTCCCCACCTCCCCGAAAGGGCCCGGAGCTGGGACTCACTGGGAGGGCCTCGCAGGCCGGAGGGGGTGGCTGTGGGCTCGCCGTGCTCTCGTACGCGGGGTTCGAGACGTTCTCCCAAGGCTGCCTGTGGAGGCTGGCGATGTCCACGTCCTGTTCTGACTGTCGAGAGACAAGCGACGGCTGAGAGCAGGGATGGCCTGGGGCGGGAGCGTCTCAGGCTGGCAGGGACCGCGGGCCGCTCTGCCTTTCTAACAGCGTTTTGCTGAATTAACTCTGATGTGCAATCAAAGGCACCCATCTTTGGGGTCAGCCCAGGCGTGACCACCCTTCAGGAGGACACAGCGGGCGTTTCTCACCCAGGGTGGTCATGTGGCACTGTAACTCCTAAGCCCAGACCTCCTCATCCAGCGCATGCTGAAATTGAACCTCACTGTGAGGTGGAGGAAGGCAGGAACGGAAGCGACCTCAGTATTCAGAAGGTGACCGCCACACGGGGGGCCCTAGCTGGGTGGGTCTAGGGCCTATAGGAAGACAGACGCCCCTGAGCCAGGATTCAGTCTCGCATGGATCGGGGGACTCCACAGTCTCCACTAGTGAGAAGACCTCACCAGGCCTGGCTGCCCGAGGTTGGGCCTCCCAGCCTCCGCGACCGGGAGCCACTCGGACCTCTGCTCTTTGTAAGTCACCTCCTCTCTGGCAGCCATGGCAACAAATGGGTGGAGCTGTCGCCGGGGGTTCAGCACAGCCTTCCCAGGAATGTGCCGGGGGACAGGGAGCCAGTGGGGTGCACAGCACACAAGAGAGATGCCTGCTTTGGGTAAGAGTCCCCAGAGCCCCTTTTAAAGACATGGCCCCAGCCTACGCTGCTGTCGGGAGCTGGAGGCTTTAAGAGCTGAGGCCGAGCGGGGAGGCAGTGAGGTCCCTGGGACCCCGGACCTCCTCTTCCTCTTCTCTCGAGCAGCTTCCTCTGCCGCCAGCTCCCACCTCCATGTTCCCCCTCGCTCCAGACCCAAAGCCGAGGAGCTGAGAACAGGGGCCGAAGCTTCCACTGTGAGCCCGAGAGCGTTTCCTCCTGCTGAGGCGACGGTCGGCCGCGTGTATCTTAGCCCTCTGCCCGACCGGGAGCTGACTGGCACACAGGGCCTCCTCCTGGCTCAGAAGTCTCCGCCGTTCACATGGAGCAAACTGAGCTCTGTGGGCTGCTGGGTGAGGCCTCTGGCTGACCCTGCCCTGCCCCTGCTCCCCAGCCTCAGGGCTGTCCTGAAGCCCGTGCTGGCCGCAGTGGGTGCTGGTCTGGGGAATCCTCCCTGGGGACTGTGGCTGCCAGATGCCCGGCATGACCCTCACCACGCCGTCTCAGCCAGGAGGCAGCTGCCGTGGGTCCTCCGAGGGGCAGAAACCCCACCAGGTGGCAGGAAGCCTGGTGGGGGCTGCCCTGCCTCTGTGCCGGCTGCCAACTCCCGGCTGGGGTCTCTGGACCTAGCTGGTGTCCAGGGGGCCCCTGTTGGGGTGTGTGCTCTCAAAACCCCTGCTGAAACGTGGCTGCCACCGGTAGGGGCCAGGCCTTCCCGAGACGACGGGGCAGGAAGAGGGTTTCAATGCCTTGTTTGCAGCAGTCAGTTCCCGAGACAGCAGGGAGCTGTACAGCGAGGCTTCCGGACATGGATCCTAAGTGGCTCAAGGTCCTCACCGGAAGCTGACCATGCTCTCAGGCCTCCTGGACTCCACAACCATGAGCCCAAAGAAACCTCTGTTCTTTACGCCGTCCTCACTCTCAGGCACTGAGTCGTAGCAACAGAAAACGGGGAGGCCCAGCGTCACCCTCCCAGTTTCCTCTCTTACCTCTAAGTGCCGGAAGCGGAAGGCTCTCCGGTTTAGCCGGAAATAAGAATAGGCAGCCAAAGCCACTGCTGCAGTGACCAGGATGATGGCAGAGAAGATCCCCATCCCCAGGCCAGCATGAGTCTGCACGCAGAAAGGAGAGCGGTCAGTTCTCAACCCAGGGGTGACCCCTAGAGAGGCATGCTTGCCAGCGTCCACCACGACGGCCGGCCCCAAGCATCTGGGAGTAATGGAGATAAAAATAAGTTGACCCGTGTTTAGGGCTGGGGACTAGCTGGATGGCACAGTGCTTGCCTAGCATGTGTGAGGTCCTGCATTCGACCCCAGGATTGCCCTCATTATCACCAGGGTCTGCTTTAAGCCCCTTCTGTGACACAATCCATTTAAGTGTGTAACAACACAAGGGTGGGTACGTTTTCCACAGCTCCCGCTCTTCCATGGACACATAGGTGCAGAACGCCGAGAGCTCGCCCGGTGTTACCCAGCTAGAGAGTGGCAGAAGCGGACTTTGGGCCTGGGGCCTGGTTACTGCAGCGCGGAACTCTCCAGCGGGGAGCAGTGGCGTTTCCTCACAGTTCGGGGAAAGTCAGTACTACCCATGTTCACAGCCAAGTTGAGGACACCGTGTGCGGAGCTCCTGGGCTGTCCCAGGTGTTTCACATTTCTTGACTCAGTCTTCCTCAGACCCGGAGTGTACTGCCCAGGGAGCCGAGCCAGCGCCAGGGCTGCCCGCTGCCTCCCACTGGCTCCTCCCTGCCCCGTCCTTCCCCTCCCACTCATAGATCTAAATGTCGGGGGAGCTCGTTCGGGAGTGGGATGGTCCTGGTCCTGGAGGCGGAGGGCAGGGATGGCCATCTCCACATCTCTACAGGGGACGGTGGGAACGGCCCTTCTGGCAGCCAGTTATGTCCAGGGAGTGGACGCTGGGCTTTGCCTGGCCCCGCACCAGGAGCCCCGGATGCTACTCACCACTTCGGGGGGTGCCTTTAAAGGCCCGGAAATGATGTGGATGACTCCGTTGGAGGCAAAGATGTCCCACAGCAGAATGGCTCTTCCATCCACGAACCAGGTCTTCTAGGGAGAGAGGAGTGTTGGCAGCCCTGTGGCCGTCTGGCCTTTTCTCCCTGTGTGGCCGCCCTGCGGAGGGCCTTCCAGGTACCCTCTGGAAGTCACAGGCACGTATCACTGGCTCCCCACCACTGCCTCTGACTAGCTGTCACGGATGGTCGTGGTGATCATTAGCACCGCCACCACCGGCATCATCACCTCGGCCACCACTGCCACCATCAGGATGCTGCCATCATCACCTTCCTCTTCGTCACCACCACCATTACCGTCACCACCATAGCAATCAATGTCACCATCACCACCACCGCCATCAGTGTCACGACCGCTATCCTCCTTTTCCATCATCACCATCATCCTCATCCTCATCCACGTCATCTCAAAATCCTCACCACCGTCACCACTGACGGGGTTCGGGGCAGGCCACCTCAGATACGCAACTGGGCCTGCGGATGTCTTGAGTTGAAGGCACCCGAGAGACAGCGGATGCAGGGAGGATTTCTGACCTCCTTTCACCTGAAAGCAGGTCATGGTTTCCCGTGCGCTGCCTGGTGTCAGGGAGAGAACATTCCTACTGAAATAACCTACTAAAATAAAATTATCTGCTGTCAGTTTCCCCGATCCGTAGTGTTTTCTAATCACTGTGCCACGATTTATTACTCTTAGCCCTGAGACCCCTTATCTTCTCACTTCTTCATAAATTAACTTGCATTTATTCAAAAAACATACAAGCTCTTGGTCTTAACTGCTTCTTTGGGTCTCCATTTTCCTTATGAAGACTCCCTTGTGCACAGAGAATATTAGATAAGTTTTGTGTGTGTTTATCGTATCCCAGTTTAATTCTCAGGCCCAGGTACAGACTCTCAGAGGGCAGGAGGAAGGTTTTCCTGCTCTACATCACCACTGTCAAAGTAATCACCTCCCATCATCGTCATCCTGTGTCAGAGGAGGACGTGGAGACAGAAGTTGGGTAGCTAAGTCCTTACAGCCGGGGGCAGAACTGGGACCCATGCCGACTGTGGGTCAGTGCCTGGGATGGACGTGGTCACAGAGCCGAAGGTCGCTCTTCATTGCCATCTTCTAAGGTGGCCCATTTCCGAGGGCAGGGGCTGCCTGTCCACATGGTAGCAGGCAACACCGCCCCTGCCTGATGACTCAGTTTACCGTCACCCTCGTAATGGCCAAGCAAGCACCTGCTGCGTGCCAGGAACTCTGCATGTGGATTTTATGGAGTTCCCCCAGTGCGCCCGTCTTTCCTTACCGGATCAGTCTGGTCGTGGCTGGTGGTGAGGAGCAGCCGGCTTCCCAGCCTAGTCCAAAGGGTGGTGCCATTGACGAAGTCGTTGTAAAAGACAACACTGACACTGGTAAGGTGGTGCTCGATGTCCCGCCCAGACAGGGTCTGAGAGGAGAGAAGAACAGGCAATGTCCAGTCTGAGCAGAGCTTTGCTCGGGCGTGGGCTCTCAGGGCTCCTCTAGCTGGGGAGTGGGCCTGAACGCCGCCCCTGTTGTCCAGAGCAGCTTCCCAGGGGTCCTGGGAGAGGTGGGGTGGGGTGGAGTGAGGCAGGGGCAGAGGTGTTTCTGCCCCCGGGCTGCCGCAGCGGCAGGCCAACTGCCCCTCGGTGTGGGGGTTCAAGCAAATTCTGCCGCCATGGTTTCTGTCTCCTCGACTCCCCTTAAGCTTCCCATGATCACAGGGGGACCTCTGGATTCGGGGCTCACAGCTGACTTGCTGGTAGGAGGTGGAGCTGGACTGAAAAGGGCAGTCGCGGCGGGCACGGCCTGGAGGTTTCCTCTCCCTTCCCAGCCTCCCCTAACTCTCAGCTTCTGGTCCACAGTGCTGCCAACTCCCCTCTGCCAGGCAGCCCTGCCTTGGAGCCAGCCCCCGGCGGACTGGGCCTCTACACTGTGAGCAGGAACAAACCTTCCCCTCTAATTTTGGGTGTTGTGTGTTCTGTCCCAGCAGAGAGGGAAGCAGCAGATGCCTGACAGTTCCTCCGTGTGCCGTGTCACGGGAGGGTTGGAGCGGAGGTTCACTCACCGGCCCTGGCCCTGGCCCTCCCTGCTCCCTGCTCTGACTTCAGGCCCAGCTGGGTGACCTGCTGTCCGACTGCATGTCAGCAAATGTGACCAGAGTCTGGAGAACACCGGCAGACCGGGTTCCCCAGCGGGGCTGATCTCAGGCCACGGCAGGTGAGGCCAGAGTGACTGCTGACCTGCTGTAGGTGAGCTCGACAGCCGTGTGGCTGCTGTGTTTCAGTAACTGGTGATCCCACCCGACGCAGTGACTGTTACCTCACATTAGGCTAAAGTGTGGGCAGCAGGGAGCCCGACGCACCTCGTTTTCCCCCAGCCCACTGTTGAACGGCACAAAGAGGGTGCTGTGGGTGGACAGGTCTGTCAGGTGCTTCAGGAATGCCCGGCCTCGGGCTGAGCTGCTGGAGTAGGCCAGCACCTCCTGTGGAGAAGACCAGGTCAGAGGAGGCTAGGTTGGGATGGAGGGGCCACAGCATCCTGTGTGGAAGTCGGGCTACTCCCACTGTCCCACGGAAGAGTTTCAGGAGACCTGTCCTTCCTGCAGCAAGTCCCATGATCCTATGCCACGGCCACGTTGTAAGCCACCACCAGCATGGCGGCCCACAGAGTTCTCCAAAACGCAAGGCCTCCCAGTCCTGCCCCTGCTGTCTCCTTGGTTTGTGCTTCGATGGCGTCCCCCTTCCCAAAGCAAGATGGGACCCTGTGGTGCTTCACCCACTGCTCCATACTTTCCTTTTCCATAATATGCATTGCCTTCTAGCACGGAATACTGATAGAACTTTTGTAAAGGAAAATGTAAAATGACTTCTGCTGCCTCTAACAGCAACCTGCTTCATTTAGTTCAAAATTAACAGACACCAGAGGCACTGACCATGAAGTGGGACACCTGGCCTCATCCCTGACCTTGAACACCCCCTTCCTGTAAACTAGGATAGCCACAGGAATCTTAAGGTAACTCCCTAACTATAAGGAATTGTCACGTCTGGTTAAAAGAACTGTGTGGTTACTGCACTTGTACATGGGTAATGTGAACTGAGGAAATGAAATGTAACCACCTGAGTGAGATCATAGCTGTAAAACCTATAAAAGAGGAAGCTGCAAACCAGTACAGGGTCAATCATTGGCACTGATCTTAGTGCGATTGGCCTTTTGTTGACAAAATAAACCTTTTATTATTTTACTACCATTCTGCGTCTCTGTGTGTGTGTGTCACTTGCCAGTTCCTTCTGTAACAATACTATTCATTTGTTTTCTTTATTCTGGATCTGTTGTTTGCTGATGCATCTCACTGAGTAGGTGCTCAGTAAATATTCACTGAAACTGCTCAACCTCACTGAACTTTGTCCTTGCACAGACAGGGCTTCTGAGGCTCGGAGAAGGTAAGTTGTTTGCTGAAGGGTTTTGTCTTTGCTCTGAAATGCTGTCCCAAGCCAAGCAGTGGAAATGCTGGATGTTTATTATCTTCAGTAGGTTTATGGCAACCTCAATTTTTAGACGAGCTAGATGGTCACCATTAGTCTGCAAAAAGGCTTTCCACACCAGCTCCTGGGTCTCATTTCTGCCTTGGTCTTGCCAGACACTTGTCCTTCCCAGGCCACCATCAGTGCTCCTGAGAACAGAGGCTTGGGCACTGGCTGCCATGTTCCTCACCACAAAGGATGATGGGAGGCTGGCACCCAGCAGTCTGAATTTGAGCCCAGTTCTGGGGTGTCAGGCTATGTCCTAATGTTCTTCACATACAAAGTGCAAATAGGAGACATAACTTCATAAGGTTGTGTGTGAGGACCTTTTCCTTCTAACAAGTGTTTACTGAGTACTCATGTGCCAGCCTCTGTCTGAGAGGCTGGGGATCTGTGGTTGTCAAAGCGAGGGGAGAGCCTTTCCCTTCTGTCCTTGCACAAAGCTGGGACAGTGGTTGATGCAAGGTCAGCACTAAAAAATGTTAGTCATTCTTCTAATGAGCTTAATTTTCTGAACAGCCAATACAAACTCTTTCTCATGGAAGACTTGTAGAACCCTGCTGCAACTTTAGGAGCAGCACAAAATGCAAACTGATTCCCTATTAATTGGCTCTCTGGGTCACCACCAGGTAGGTTTAGCTGACTAAGTCCAGGGGACAAAGGAGAGCCACACACCTGCAGATCAGATGCTTGCACTGCTCTCCTGCAGAGGTAACAGCAGTCAATGTTAATACTGAATTTTCTGTGTGATGCGCACAGGTGTAAATGCGTCATGACTATCAACTCATTCAGGGATCACAGTGATGGTGACCATCACCTCCATTCCACAGACGAGAACACTGTGGTTCAGAGAGGAAATTAATCTGCTTAAAGTTAGGCAGCACATCAGCGGCAAACCCAAGCCTCAAATTCAGACAAGGCATCTGTTACGGTTGAGAGTTCGATGTCCCCAAGAGCCTCATGTGCTCACATGTGGGGTCTTTGGAAGGTGACTGGACTTTGGGGGCTCAGAGCTGACCTGCTGTTAGGAGGCGGGGTCTGGCAAAGGAGATGGATGTGGCCTGGAAGGGTTCATCTCCCTCCCAGCTCCTCCCTTCACTCTCTGCTTCCTGTCTACCATGCTGTGAGCAGCCTTCCTCCGCCAGTTCCTCTGCCATGCTGTTTCTTCTTGGAGCCAGACAACTGTGGACTGAAACCTGAGCCAAAATAAACCTCTTCTCCTTTGAACTGTTGAGTGTTGGGTATGTATCTCAGCGAGGAGAAAGTGCCTAGGACATGGTCCAACACCCAAGCTCAGCCATGATGAGAATGAGCCTTTGGCTTCATTGAAACTCTTATGCCTCTGACAGCTGCAGGAGGCAACCCTCCCTGTGCAGGGCACCTACCGTCAGGAAGTTCTTCAACAAGGGGTTGGACATCAAGACCTGCAGCAGGTTCCCACTGCACGACATGCCGTTTCCCACATAGCCCGGCCTGCAGGTGCAGTTCACGTCTGGAAGGCAGAGGCACATGGGGTCCACCCCAGTGAGGCAGGGGCAGAGCCACCCTGCTCACCTCGGGAGCCTGCCCATCTCGGCTGGGGCAGTTACCTTTCATGCGGTAGCAGAAGACATCCCATGTCTCGCTCTTGTTGGGTCTGACGCCGTAGTTCACGATCCCCACGGTGCCCCCGCCACACTTCTGGGAGGCGTAGGCTGTGGGGTAGGCCACGTGGCCACTGTCCAGCCAGCCCGCCGAGCAGAGGTGATAGCCAGCCTGCAGGGACACAGACATCACCCTTTGGTGATTTCTCACCTGTTGGGGAACCGCTTGGTTTGTTTCCAATTCTGTCCTGGGACCTCCCGGTCACTAAGTTTCTGTGGATCAAGCCACTGGATGCACCAGAGTGGTGGCCTCCCTTTCTGTGGGCGTCGAGTCCTTCATGCCTACTTCTCTTCCCTCTGCTCCTGAGGAAGGATCTGCAAGTGGCCAACGTACAAGGTGTGCATTACTGATTCCCTGGACGAGTGTAATCATTAGGTATCTCAAATGCACGCGCATAAAAAAGAAAGGATCTGCAATCAGCTGTTTCCTCCCGCTGCAAATTTGTCTGATCAGGAGTTAGCACAACTCTGATGGCAGAAGTGCAAGTGTCGTCTTTTCCTCCATGGTCCCCCCACCCCCGTCATGGTGACACTCACTGAGAACTATGTGGGGCTGTGTGTTCTCTTGTGAGAGCTTTTCACGTGTTGACACCTTTGCCCTCATGTCAGTCCCTGTGAGGTAGGAACTTTTAAAACCCTTATACTGCAACTGTAGCAGTGGAGGCAAAGAGAAATCAAGTAACTTGTTCAGTTGTAGAGCCAGCAAGCGGAAGATTCAAACCTGGGGAGTCCATTCCACATCTCTTAACGAACTCAGAAACCGAGCTCCTACTGTGCGCTGCATTACCTGCAAGCATGCCATGTAGGAAAGGAGCTTGATGGCTTGAAGGCCATACAGCGAGAAGCCGGAGAGCAGCAACTCAGGGCCGCCAAGATGCTGGGTTATGGTAACTAAGGGTTTTGCTCCTTGGTAAAGAGGCTGCGGGTTGTAGAGTGCTTTGGTGGTGATGGAGCTTGGAGGAAGGGCTCTAAAGCCACACCCTGTAGTTGTCACTTCTGCTTCCGGTGAGAAAGCACCAGCAGGAGACTCCAAGGTGCTGGATTCTGGGTTCAGAGCTAAGGAAGGGGGCTGCCTGGCTACGGAGCCCCAGCTCCTCCCTGCTGGGGACAGGACAGTTCCCTCACATCTCCCTCACAGCCCTGCAGCCACAGAGCTCCCGCTGCTCCAGAGAACCTTGACCTCTGGTTCAAGCAGTGAGGTGTACACTTCCGGTCTCTGCCTCTGCTGTAACAACTGGGTGTTACGGTCAAGAACAGGCTTCTGGGGTCGGGCAGGTTACACGTGAATACTGGATTGTCATGGCTTGATCTAAAATGCACCCACGAGTCCTGTGTTCCAAGGTGGGGCCTGGTTGGAAGCAGCGGGTCACAGGGTGTGACTTGTCTCCAGCACCTCTCTCTCTGCCTCCTGGCTGCCACGAGCTGATCAGCTCTCCTCCACCATGCTGTTTCTCCTTGGAGCCAGCAGGCCATGGACTGAACCCGCTGAAACCATGAAGCAAAACAAACCTCCCCTTTTTTAAGTTGCAGGTGTTGGGTAGTTTGTCCCTGCAGTAAGAAAGCTAATATGGATGGCTTCTACCTCTAGGCTTAGATATTTCACTCTACCTTTATTCAAACTTTTGTAGGATGGATAATGTCAACAAAGCACTTAAAATCAGTGCTTGATACACAGCGGCCGCCTGACACTGGTCATGACGCGTTACTGCTCCCAGAGCTTCCTGTATTCGCCTCCCATGCGCCACAGCCCAAGTCGCCCCAAAGAGGTGGCTCCTCTGCCCCCGTAGATGTAGTCGGCCCGGTGCCCACAGTCTGGGACCTACCTTCTGGGCATAGGAGAGCTGGGTGAAGGTGGCAACTGCTGCAGCTTCATTGGTACAGGCCAGGACGGCATCGTCAAAGGTCAGCTTGTACTGGCCCAGTGGGGAGCGGATGTGGAACACCCCGGCGGTGGCATCTGCAAGGAGCAGAGGGGTCGGCCCAGTGGCTGGGTGGTCAGTGGACCTGGCTCCACCAAAGCCCTCTGAACACTGCGTCTCGCAAGTGTGCAGAAGCCACTTCCCTCCCAGTTATGTTGAGGACACTGTTTGGAGTATTTATCTCTAGGGCTGGGATTCAGCTCAGTGGTTCTGCCACTTGCTGTGCAAATGCAAGCACCTGAGTTCGATTCCCCAGTACCAAAAAGAAAAAAAGCATTTATTTCTTCTCTGGCTGTGAAAACCGCACACACAGCACGCCCAATGAGGCAGCACCACAGTTACAACGGCCAGCGTCAAAAAGACAAAACAACAAACGCTGGAGAGGATGTGGGGAAAGGAGCACCCGGGTGTGGTAGGAAAGGTGGGGATGCACCTTTTAGTACAGATGCGGCTGGTAAGAGTATGCAGGTTCCTAAAAAACAGAACCACCCGCCACCCCGCCATCCTGCTGAGGCAGTGAAATCAGGGACAGCTGCGCAGCACCCTTCCCAGGGTCCGAGATGGGGGTCCATCAGAGGGGACGGACCTAGGACGGCGGCGCGGCCACATGGACACATTCAGCCGTGGAGAAGGGTGGAATCTTGTTATTTGCAGCAGTGCTGAAGAATCTGGAGGACGTTACGCTAAGTCCAGGCACCAAGACAAAGCCAGGTGACCGCACGCAGACATGGACACTGAAGATGGCGACCTCGCAGCTGCTGAGAGGAGCAGCGTGGCCACTGGAGGCTGCACAGCAAGGGGCGGGTGGGCAAGGACTGGCCAGCGGGTTCAAAGTCACGGTTGGAGAGGGGAGTAAGTTTGCGTCCCCTTGTGCAGTACATGAGTGTGGTTAATGATACTGTGCTGAGGCCGGGTGCTGGGGCACACACCTCTAATCCTGGCACTCGGGAGGCTGAGGCAGGAGGACCTCTGTGAGTGCCAGGCCAGTGTGGGCTATATAGTGAGTTCAAGGCCAGCCTGAGCTGCATAATGAGACTCTGTCTCAAAAACAAAACAAAAAACAAAACAACAACAAACAGCACAATAATGTATTGAATATTTCAAAACAGCTAGAAGAGGGCCAGGGATTTCGCTCAGGGCCGCTGCTGCCTGTGCAAGGTACTGAGTTCAACCCCTATACCAAAAAAAAAAAAAGCTAGAAGAAAGGACTTTGACTGTTCCAACCACAGAGACACGATAAATGTATGAGGTTATGGACTTGCTAGGTCCCTTGATTTAACTGCTGCGTGATGTATACATGTGTTAAAACATAACACTGAACCCTGTAAATGTGTACAATTATCACGTGCCAGTTAAAAATAAAATTACAAAGCCTATTTTAATTGTAGAAATCAGGGCACTATATATAAAAACGTATAAAAATTCACCTACAACCTTACTCTCCAGAAATAACCACTGCTCTGTGGCTAATATTTTGATGCATCAGAAATTTTACTGTTTTTTTTAAAAACTTTTAAGTTTGACATAATTCCAGATTCTTCCAGTCTTTTTTCTATTCACTTATATAACATTTATATTATAAATGTAATAATAAACTACATAGTTTTCAGAAATTTAAAAATTTACCATTAAATCATGATTTGTCAATATTACACATTTTCTCTGATAATGATTTCTCCTCCCATATTTATAACTAAATAATTTTCGTAATATATATTAAGGTATATTTCTGCTAGGGACTCTATATATTTTGATCTCTGAATGCTTTTTTTTCCCAGTACTAGGAATCAAACTCAGGACCTTGGGCTTGCCAGGCAGGTGCAGCGGTGCTGAGCTACATCCCCGGCTTTTATTTATTTTATTTTACATGTTTTAATTGGTACTGGGGATCGAATTTGGGACCTTGCACTTGTGAGGCAGGCGGTGGAACCACTGAGCTAAATCCCCGGCCTCTCTGAATGCTTTTTAAAAAGTTTTCAAGAAAAATATCTATGTGCCTCTTAAGATACTAAAGGTCTCTATTATTCGTTCATAGCTGGTATCTTTTCTAGCCAAATAGCTGAAGCAGAGAGCAGCGATAGTACAAGAGCCACGTCACTTTCTGTATCACCCCATTCCCTATAAGATACCACGACAGGTACTTTCTACACCACGGGTCTAACTGCAGCCTTCATCTCAGTGATCCACTTGTCGGACCAACACGATTTCCTTCTCCACTGAGACCACACATATTTGGAGGGACAGGGTGCTGGGGATTGAATGCAGGGCCTCACACATGCTAGGCCAGCATGCTCTGCCACTGAGCTGTATCTTCAGTCCTTTTTATTTTGAGAGAAGCTTACTATGTTGCAATCCTCCTGCCTCAGCCTCCTGAGTAGCTAGGATCACAGGTGTGCACAAGCACACCGTTCCTAACAGTGCATCTGAGTGAGAGAAGCTTAATGTTGCAATCCTCCTGCCTCAGCCTCCTGAGTAGCTAGGATCACAGGTGTGCACAAGCACACCGTTCCTAACAGTGCATCTGAGTGGATGTGCAGAGGTGTATTTGATCACCCTTTACCTCCAGACATGTAAATTATTTCAGATTCTTTGTGACATTTAAGAATGCTGGGTTGAATACGCTCCTCCTGATTCGATTCTCAGATGAGGTCCCTAGATAACCCCGGCACTCTGGGAGGCTGAGGCAGGAGGATTGCAAGTTCAAGCCCAGCCTGGGCAACGTGGCAACTCAGCAATACCCTGTTTCAAGATAAAAAATGAAAAGGGGCTGAGGCTCTGGATTCGATCCCTGCAGACACCTCCTGAACTCCCCGGGGCTCGTCAGAAGGGCAGCCCTGTCTGTGTGTCCTGTACATTTGCTCACTACCCTTCCTGTCTGTCAGAGGGAGCTGAGGCGTCTCAGGTCTGACATCTGACAGGCGGGCGGTTGACAGTTGCCATGGAGACATGTGCTAACCACGCTGCTAAAATGACCCCAGCTGTAAGACCAAGCCAAGCACAGGCAGCCTCCAGGGAGTACTGGCCGGTGTAAGGGCGGAGGCCTGAGGTTCGCAGGACAGCGCCATTGGGGTCCTCTGTGGTTCTTCTCCAGCAGGATTCAGATGCCCACGGCATCTAGGCCTCTGTTCTGCCACGGGGCTCTTTACTCCTGGGGTTTTCTCAGCTTCGCTACACCTCAGTGTTGGCTGTGAGCTTTTGGGAGCACGACGACTGCTACCAACCAAGAGGTCAGGACGGTGCACAGGGCGAACGCTTCCGTGTCCCCGAAGCCCCGGCCGAGCCTCCTGGATTCGCCGCCTTGCCGTTGCCACGGTTACCGAGCACCGTGGGAAAAGCAAGCCCGCGGCCCCCACGGACAGCCGCCCACCGCTCCCTCCTGCCTGCCCGGCTCAGCCGGGGTCTGCTGCACGGTGTCCTGTTCTTCCTTTCTTCCCTCGCAACGGCCGAGGGCCTGGGAGCCCGGCCACACTCACCCTGGAAGTGCAGGTCCACGCAGTCGGCATCTGGGGCGCAGGACCCATTGTCCTGGAGGCAGCGGTCCAGGGGCAGCTGCTCGGGCTCGCAGTCCAGCCCGTCCCCGACGTAGTGGCTCTTACACTCACACTTGTACCTGCCCTGCGGGGACGTGGAGCTGTCACGCGCCTGGCGAGGCCCCCGCAGGGGAGTCTGCGGAGGACTCAGTGGTGGCACAGTCGCCTCTGCGCTCCTCCAGCGCCTCCCCGGCACCCTGCACAGAGCGGCTCTCCTGGCTCCCTGCAAATCCCCTGGGCACTGGTTTTTGTGCCAAGTACTGGCTCCTCCCGCTACCTGTGTGCAGGGACCTTGTCCACTGCGCCTGGAGTGAGTCACTGAATCAACTCACATAACTCACACAACAACCCAGACGTCTGATGACTATCAGGCCTGCTTTACAAATGAGAAGACGGAGGCCCAGAGAGGTTAAGCAGCCAGCCTCAGGCCACACAGCCTCCAGAGCCAAAGCTTAATGAAAGGTGGCCTGATGCAGATCCATGTTCGTACCCAGGGCTGGACAGCACCCCCACCATCTGCCGGTCTGCTGCAGAAACGGGGCACCTGTCCCATGCTAAATGGGCGCGAGTGCATGCCGCTGTTATGCTATTTCTCAACTTTTTGTTGGGTGTGGTGACGCAGGCCTGTAAACCCAGTACTCAGGAGGCTGAGGCAGGAGGACTGCAGTGTGTCTGAGGCCAGCCTGGGCTACACAGTGAGGCTGGCCTGAAACACACAGCAAGAACCTATCTCAAAAAATCCAAAACAACAACAATAAAACAAAAACTTTACATTTTGAGTAATTTTAGATTTATAGGAAAGCTGTAAAGATACAGGCTGTCCACTGTAAACTCCCCAGCTTAGCCACAGTACCTTTGTCAAAACTAAGAAAGCAATGTTATTTCCCATTAAATAAACAACAGACTTTCTGTGGGTTTCACGGTTTTCCCACGAATGTCCCTTTTTTGGCCAAGGACGCTGTCACGGTTTAGACTTAGTGTCCCCTCAAAGTGCCATGCATTCCAGGTGATGGATCATGGGGACGGGATTGCTGTACTCCAGATCCATCAGCGAGTTCACAGCTGAGTGCGGTCAGGACACGCGGCTGCCTGTGGGGGCGGCCGGGACCCGGAAGTGCGCATGTCCCTTCCCTACTCCGCCCTCGCTGCTGCCTGCCCAGCTGCCATGAGGCGAGCGGTTTTCCCCCACCGCATCCTTACGCCGTGGACTGAACCCCTGAGCCAGGAACCAAGTAAACCTCTCCCTCTAAGTTGTGTTCCAGAAATGGGGAAGTGACCAAAACAGGTGCCACTTTGCATTTAGCGAGAAACAGACAGAGGAGAAAGAAAGCACGGAAGAGGCCAAAGCCAAAGAGGGAGCAGAGACCAGGCAGGTGGGGTGAGAAGCTGAGCCCAGCGCGAGGCTTGCTTGACTCCACTTTCCTGGGCACTCACCCGAGCGGTCATCCTGCAGGTGGCATGCTCGTGACACCCCCCGTTGAGGCCATCCGTGCAGAGGTCTATCTCCGTGCAGCTGTAGCCATCTCCCTGATAGCCCGTGGGGCAGTTGCAAGAGACCTGGGTATCCTTTTGGGAGCACGTGGCGACCTTTGCACAGCCCCCGTTGTTCTGTTTGCAGAAGTCCACAACTGCAAGGTGGAGGAGGGGCTCTATGTACCATTACCTGCGTTCCCGGGGCTTTGGATCGGGGGGCTGGCCACCCTACCCCTGTGCTCTGGGGAGCAAACGGGCTTGTACGGCTGTGCCTTTGCTCGCATGGCCCGTGGCCTCTGTGTGAGGCTCCGCAACAGTAGTGCCCTGCGACACCCTCACAGATCAGGCCTGGTGGCCTCTGTCCACCCTGTCACCTACTTCTAGGCTCACCTGGGTGGCGGTGTTCAGACTGAGCTTGGGTTTTCAATGTTTCACGTGTGCAGAGACAGTACAACATGGGACACCATGTGAGACAGACATTGCTAACCCTGTTCCACCGATGACCGGACCGAGGCTCAGGGAGCTTCACAGACCTGACCATGGCTACACGCGGCAGAGCTGGGATGCTAAGTCAGGCTAATTTGGCCTCGATGTGTTGGGTTGGCTCTTGGGAACTTGGTCTTCACAATCTCCCAAATTTTAGCCCTTAAATACAGCAACTCTGGCCTCAGCAGCAGTAGGAAAGCGTCTGAGTTCTTCTGCCTGACCTTCTGTGGGGTCATGGTAACTACTTGAGACTCAAGAGGATAAAGGTGAGGGCAGAGCTCCTGCCACTAGGGTTGGGAGAGGAGAGAGCGAGCCTGGTCTCTGCTGCCACTGCCAAGTTCTGCTTCCTGCAGGGATGGCAAAGTCTAGTGTTTATAAAGGAAGTTTGTACTCAGGCGAGTGCTTCATGGAAAACCTCAGGAAGTCCATCTGGCTGAAGTGGCTGAGTTGTTCTTCCTTTTCCATAGTAATTGGATTTTCCAGTGGGCCTCTCACGTGTGCTACCCAGCAAGACAACCCTTTCCTGGCTCCCTTGCAGCTAGATGTGGTGGCCGATCTGGTGCCGGCCAGTTGGAACGGAGACCTCACTGTGGCAAGCTGGAGGCTGCGCTCCCTCCTCCGACCTGATGCCTGGGTTGTATTCATGCTGGTGGCCATCTCAGGCCATTCACGTTACAAGGGCAGAGCAAGAGAGAAGGGAGGGACCCCACATGCTTCCCAAGGTAAAACTCTGTTCCAGCCCTGAAAGCCCCCACTGAAGCTGTTCAAAGAGACAGACATAAACTTGTTTATGCACCATCCGCTTAGGACGCTGTGGCCAGGCCTACATTGTAAGTACAAGGGATGGACACTGCCACGGGCACAGTGGCTCTCACCATGGGTGGGACACAGTATGTGCAGGGTTCACTTTTTAAAAATCCAGTGTATTTTCTGAAGACAATATTACTAACGGAGTTAGAAAAACGCTCTAAAATATAAAGTAAATCCTGCCTTGCAAAGCAACTGTCAGGCTGTGGTGTGTGAGGTGGGCTGGCCACAGGGAGCACACGCATAAAGAAACCGAGTCACAGAGAGTGAGCACTGCTCAAGAGTTCCGGGCAGGAGCGGAAGGGCCAGGAGGAAGCCCAACCGCGGTGACCCACCCTGGACCCTGCTGCTGCTTCACGGGTGGGCAAAGGGAACTCACCTGTGCACGTCAGTCCATCCCCTTCGTAGTTCAGGTCACACTCACACGTGTTGTTCTCCATGCAGGTGGCATGAGCGGAACACGGAGGCGTGCACACTGGGGACACAACTGCAAAGAAAGAGGTCACCATTTGTCCTGCGCCAGGCGACAGGCTGGGGTTCACCCAAGCGCTTGCCCAGACCCTCCTGCCTCTGCTGCATAAACACGCCGAGAGGCAGGAGCTCAAATGTGTTACCTTTGGGCCAACCAGGAAAACCTCCCAACTGAAACCCTAACAAGGCTGAACTTCGGGGACGAACTGTCTGGTCCCCTGCCCTCCCCGCCTGGGAGAAGCCCGGCATAATCACGATGGCAGGGTGGAGCTGGGGGTGTCTGGGGAGGAGGCAGTGGGGAGCTGAAGTCAGCTATGCTGCCAGACTGCCTAGGAATTGGGTAGGGCTGCACCCCCACCCTCCCTCTCTTTTGCACAGTCCTGGGGACTGAACCCAGGATTTTTAGCTACATCCCCAGACTTTTTGTTTTTAAAAATACTTTTTAGAATTTTGAGACTGGGTCTCGCTAAGTTGTCCAGGATGGACTTGAACTTGTGGTCCTCCTGCTTCAGCCTCCCAGAGTGCAAGGATGACAGACATGTGTCACGGCACCTGGCTTCGCAAGAGGCCCTCTGACTGCAGGGGAGGTGAACTGTCGTGGAGGCCCAGCAGGCCACTCCCAGCTCAGACCTCCCGGATTGGGGCTCTGAGTTTGGGGGAGGCCTCGGGGGATCGACTGCTCAGTACAAGTCAGAATCGATGGTGACTAGGACTCTGCCCAGGCCAAGCCCACAACCCAAACAAGCTCCCCATGTGGGGACAGAGACACCCGCGTGGTCATGTTTCCGGGCCCCTTGGCCCCCCAGCTGGCCGCACAGACCTGCGTGGGTGTCGCAGAGGCGGCCCGTCCACCCGCTCTCGCAGAGGCAGTGCCCGGAGCCCGAGATGCCATCTTCACATTGGCCGTGTTCGGAGCAGCCGCAGGCTGGAGGGCAGATCGGGGCTCGGTGAGCGGCGTGGGCGTCCACCCCCGGCCCGAGCCACCCATCCTGTCATCCAAACGTCACTGCCAGGTGACCGGGACCAAGGGACAAAGGCAGGACTGGCGGTGGACAGAGGTCGGAAAGCTGTAGGATCGGGCACAGGAAGGGTAGGAAAGGGGCAGGACGAAGGCCTCGCGGAGATTTTGCAGGAGTCAGGAGGGAAGTGAGCTGTGGCATCCAGAGGGCAGGGGCAGCCCGAGGAAGGGACTGGAAAAGCAAAGGCAGCGAGATGCAAGGAGCTGGGAAGGAGGCCAGGAGCCGGACCACGGTCCCGGCAGGGTGATGGATGACGAGTCCAAACTTTCTCCTAAGCCTAAACTCCCCGTCCCTGAGGCCCCCCGCCCCGGAGGAGTCGCGCCTTCTACCGAGGACCGGGGAAGGTCACAGGGCCAGAAAAATCCAAGGTGAGGATGGTGCAAGCCAGGGGCCAACCAGATCCTGGGCCCCCGGGGACCAGGGCCTCAGTGAGGCGCTGCGGAGGAGGAGGAGGTCCGGGAGTCGCCTGCTCTCCTTCCCCAAGGTCCCCAGCAGCCTCTGCACCTCTGTCCCCTTCCCACCTCCAAATATTTTAGCAACTTCTTCAGTCCGGTACCCGCCCTGGGTCTAGGAGGGCCGGTGTCCCCGCACAGCAGTGGCTCGCTGTCGCGCCCCATGGACCCACAGCGTGGCCGAGCGTGGTGTGGTGTAGGTGCAACGCCCATCACACAGGTGACGGTGTCACAGTCACGGCGCATGGGACAGGACGCTGGCCTCCCGACGGGAAAAGTCTACTTAAAGCGTAAACTTAAAGCACAGGCAGTGATCCTGCTGCTCCTTGCCGCCCATGGCGGCCAAGCCAGTCCAAGGTGACACCTTGCCTTGCTTGCTGCTCCAGCCTCCCCGGGTGGCCTGTCTCCTGCACGTGTCCTCCATGGCAGTAGGTGTGGCTGTCTCCTCTGTCCATGACACTTCTCTGAGTACAGTCTTCCATTGCTGCCCTCACACTTAGACGCTATCCACCTTTCTTGGCCCCGGTGACCTTCAGATTTTATTTCCCTCTTCTCTTCCCTTCTTTACCTGCCCTGCTCAGCCTCCCTGGCTTCCTGCCTGTCAAACCTGCTTCTGCCCCAGGGCCTTTGCACATGACCACTTCTTCAACAGAGGCAGCCCTCTGGTTTGAAAGGTCCAGCATGCTGGACAGATATCAGCTACACATGGTTAAACTTCACTTAAAAATTCAGTCCTTTGGTCATGCAGTTTTGGTGCTCAGTGGGCACATGTGATTAGTGGCTGCCACACTGACATTCGAGTCACACAGCGTGTGCAGGGCTGCTGCCAGGTTGACCCATGACTTTCATCAGGTCTCTACTCAATGCCCCCCTGAGATGGCTCCCAAGACACGGCCTCCTTGTATCCTTCATCCCATTTCTTGCTCCTTTTTGTTTTTAGAGACTGGGTCTTGCTATGGAGGCCAGGCCGGCCTGAATTCATGGTGATTCTCTTGCCTCAGCCTCCTGAGTGCTGGGATCACAGGTGTGCACCCCATACCTGGCTCTACATGCCCCTTTCTAATGCCCTTTGTTTCCAGCCCACCGAGAGCTGCCATTCTGTCCCTAGGCCTTAGCACAACTCCTGGTGCCAAACAATCTTCCTCTCTATGCCCTGGTGCCACCATCCACTGATGGGGCATGGACAGGGCTCCCCCAAAGGGTGCGACGGGGACGAGGCACAGGTGGGGAAACCGAGGTCGGGCGCGCTGTGGCTGCCCCAGAGGTTAACTGCCTGTATTATAAGGACTCGGCCAGCGTGCAGGGGGTGACCCCGAATGCCATCGAACTACACTGAAAGTAACTAAATACGGAGAAAGACACTGCCGAGAGCCGTGGGGTTACTGTGCTCCGAGCGAGGGCTTCAGGAGGGATCCAGGGCCACGCGTCACTGATCGCAGTAATAAATCTTTCACGTGAACACTGCCAGGGGCCGCGGACGCCCCATCGATCACAACTGTTATGGCCGTTTCTGTCGAACAGAAGTGTGCCACGGTGTCCTCCAGCACCCGTGCACCCCGTGAGGGTCTGCCCAGCTCCCGCCTCTTCCCCAAAGCCAAAAAGACCCCGAAAGGGAGGCGTTTCGGAAGAAGGGGACGGCAGAGCCGCTGCGGAGAGCGGCGAGGACGGGCTGGGATCCGCGTGGGTTCAAAGCCAGGGGGAGAGTTTGAGGGGCATCGATGGCCACGCGTCTTTCGTTGTGATAAATTGCTAAGAAAAATTTAAGAACGTGCACGTATCTTCCGATCTCGCCCTGAGTGGGCCGAAGGGATGAGGGAGCCGTCAGCCAGGGCTCGTCAGGGCTGTGGCTGTTTCCCGATGGGGAGGAGGGAGGCGGGGAGGAGGACGCTGAGACGGGGGACAGGAGTGACAGGGCGCGGGTGGCCACGTACGCCGGCAGTAGGGCCCG